GTTTCCTTAGTTTTTATTATCCTGCTTTGAAGCTGTGCTTGTGTTTGCATTAGAGTGTTTAAACCTTTATGCTTATAACAGTGTCACTTTCTCCATGTTTGCATTTTCCAAAACATCAACGTCTTATCCTCATTGTGAAAGTCTCCATCAGTTAGACAGAGCGTCACCTTATCTTTAGATTGTTATTCAAGTATGCCAGGCGAGGAAGTATTGATTAATTTTCGAGTGCTTCAATTCATTGTTAATAGTTTTATCTTAATAAATATTACAACCGTTTTGCCTTATTTTGGAGAAATGAAAGTATCGAGAAATTCGTGAAGGATTTTATTGGCCGCTGTGTCTAAAGCTTGGTCAGTTAAGTGTATTACTATAAAGTTTTGGATATAACCACATAAGAAAATTGTATACTATGTAATAATTGTAATTGCAAGGAACTATGGAAAGTCTTATCAAAATGTATTTAGCTTTAAAAGCTTGGAAGGCTTTCATAAGTAATCTCAACCAAAAAACATAACATTTATTCTAATGGAATAAAAATTATTAAATTGAATTAGTAAATAATCGGAATATTGAAACATATAAATTTAAAAATGTTAACACATATATTTTAAAATGTTCGTATATAAATTTTAAAATAAATAAAATAAAACATTAATTTTAAAGACATAAAAAACACATTTTAAAGACGGACACATAAAGTTTAAAATGTTCACGAAAACTTTAATATGTGTTTATATGTTGTTCATAGGTGATTCATAATCCCCTTTTTTGAAAAGTGTCTCATACAATAGTTATAAAAATGCAACATAAAAGCTTATAGCATTACATAAAGAATCTCACAAATTTTGCCCTTAATTTTAAATTTAGCCGCTAGATTGCAATCATAACACTAGGTGGTAATAAATACAAGCATGGCCTTCACTGGTGAGCACAAAGTTACTTAGAATTCGTTAAACGTTGAGTCAGTTGCAACAATAATACAGATATCTACCAGGAGATAGGAAACGGTAGCATTTACGGACCAGATAGTACGCGCATGATACACCGAATTCAGACTGGCTACCTGTCGATACAAAACGAACAGCCCGCAAGGGCCACCGGCTGAGACCAAAGTCTGCTTATCTCATCTGGAGTGCACATATTAATCAAATGTATGCCACATACAAATGTGAAAAGTTCTTTACATTCTGGTGTGCAATCGTTTGTCGCTGTAGTTATTATGTCATAAATATTTGAAATCCTGGAGGACGTTATAAATTACCCTGTCCATGCATACGTACACTATCTTACGTTGCAGAGTTACGAGGTTATTTTGAAGCAGGAAACATGAAAACTGAGGAATGCCCTTGCCGGGACTCAAATCTGGACCTCTCGAACACGCCCCGAGTATGCTACCGTTACACTACACGAAGGCATGCTGGAAGGGGGGAGAAAAAAAAACCTTATAACATTTGGAATCTTAGTTATTTATATACATGTAAACTTTCTCTACTTCTTTTCCTATGTAAAATTTATAAATCATTCCCTTTTTGTTGTTATATTGCGGAACTTTCACACGTGCGGTATGCATTTTTTTAATGTATATAATATGGTATTATTTTTATGTGTATCATATATAATATTTATAATCGGTATAACCGGGTTTTTTTAACCAATTTAAGGATGACGTTAAAGTGAAAAGGACAGTGAGTGCATGTAACAGGTGATAAAATGAATACGAATACCATTGATTAAAAGTAATTTTTGTTCAAAACTAACTATAGTTTACGTTTTATTTCTCGATTTTGCTCTTCATGAGGGAGGTGAATATATTAGTTTTTATTTCTAACTGTATACGAATTGCGTGTATTTATGTTTTGTTTCCCGGAAAAGATACAATGAATACTAAAAAAACAAAAAGATTTATTTTTCTTCCGAGGAAAGTCGAAAAAATTCACTTCTAAAATTTTGTAAGCGCATTATACGAGGACATAAATTTAGAAATTTATGGAGACAGAGCATGCTACATCCTTGTAAGTACAGTAACATTTCCTCAAAGAAATAAGTAGAATGTAAACTTTCTAACTATGAATTATTATAATCTTTGTTCGTAAACTTTTGCGTTTCAGTAAATGTGAAACGAATTTCAGATTTTGACCGTCCAGCTTCTTTTTCTTTGACGTTAATAATCTGTTATTGGTTTTTTCGTATGTTTTTTGCTATGACTGTTGCAGCAATCCATCTTTCAAATGCGTAAAATTGGTGAAATCATATTCCATTTTTAATAAATGTAGGCTCATAAATTTCAGAGCTGTGGCGTGACAGGTTCGGCATAGGTTCTTGTATATCCGAATCATTTTTGCGTGAGGAGCAAAAATGAATATAGAGTAGGAAAATTCATTTATTTCGTGTTCAAATATTTTATTTATTTAATTTTTATTCATTTATTTATCTTGATGAAAATTTTTTTGCCATCTCCTCCTTATATCATTTTTCTAATGAAGAAACATTTTTGAAAAAAAAATTAGTTTCGCAGCTACATGTTACAATCCATTAATTTCAAAAATCGTAACTAAGTATTTATGTCGGTTAAAAAGCCATAAAACGACTTTTAAAACGGAAAGCAATGTTTAAAATAAATTAACAAGGATTTTGAACTTTTTAATTAATGTTATCGTTAATATAAGTTAGTAAATGATTCTTTTTGCTATTCCGTGTTATCTCAAATGGACAGGGTGATCCACAAAGAATCTCTGTTTTTAAAATTAAATAACTCGAAAGCAAAGATTGATAGAAGAATGAAATAAAAGGTATTTTCATTGGGACAGCTGTAAAAATCTGATGCAGAAGTTTCGCATTTAATTACAAACGTTGCCAATAGGTGGTGCTGTAGTCGTAGTACATTCTAGAAAAATGTAAGAAACATGTCCTCTGCAAGCCGTTTGTGTTATCACATCACAATCTTTTCAGAATGTCCACCTTTCGCAATACAGAGGGATGCAAACTAAACGAAATTCTAGTTTCTTCTGGGAGATAGTGTCCTTCAAGGTGCCCAACAAAACCTATACACACCTATCTCTCAAGATGGAGCCGATAACAAATTTTGGTTACTGCAGCTCAAACGGTAATTTTTGGGGAATGCAGTGGTTTTGCTTCACTTAAAAGGGGGTTTTCAGTACCCTAAAATCGCCAGTTTTGTTTGTTCACAACATCATTCAGGTAAAAATGTGCTTCATCTGTGAACATATGCAGTTAACACCGAATTTGTCATCATTAATCATTATGAGCATTTCGTTCGCGAAGTCTTCTCTCTGTTCTCGAATGGGAAAATCTTGGTGACATTGGATCTTGAACGAAAACAAGTGTAGGCCTGTATCCTTGATCGCGTTAAGGCGAATTTTGTTGCAAGTCTTCAGATGGAGTTCCTCGGATTTTGCTGAACAAGTGTAGAAACTTTCGCGACATTATCAGAGTAACTACAGAGTGCCTGGGACCAAAATTCCCCACTAACTCATCAGCCACGCTTCCTGTTCGTTGAAATTTACCGAAAAGCACACGAATAGTTTTCAAATCAGGACCTTTGCAACGTTAAATCGGGATTGAAAACTGCGCCTCGTTGACTTCTTCTTAGTAATATAGTGTACAGCGCCCCCTATTGACAACTTTTGTAACTAAATGTGAAACTTCTATATCAGATTTTTACAGCTGTCCCTAAAAGCATACCTTTTGTTTCATTCTTTTATCGATCTTTGTTTTCGAATTATTTAATTTTTAAAATGGGAGTCCTTTGTGGGACACCCTGTATCTCTTTTCTTTATTCAAATTTGAACTTCTCGGCGGTGTTACAGATCCCTTCTATTTCATAATAAAGAAACAAGCATTTTCATCTGATTATATCTGTTGAATAATTTTATTGTGAATTTACTTTGAATTGGAAAAAATAGTTTTCTCGGCGATAACGTTAAAGGCTTTTCACTCAATTGAAAATCTGCCCAATAATTTGAAAAATAAACCTTACTGCTTTTCTAATAGTCCATATACATTATTATAGAAAGAATAAAAACGTGTGAGTGTCAGAAAATTCCCTCGAAAGGCGGATTAAGAGAACTGTCAAATTAGCCGTGTCTGCGCTTAGAAAGTTATGTTTTCGTTTTTCATCCACAAGTGATGTGACGATCAGCGTAATGGTGACTGCTTTATAAGGTATTTCTCCCGCCTTCCTAGCATGCCTTCGTGGTATGGTAGTTTGCACGCAGGGCCGGTATTCCAGAGGTCCGTGGTTCGATTTCCGGCGAAGGCGATTGCTCATTTTTCATCTTGCCTGCTTCCAAAAAGTACCTAATGTCTCTACAGTGGCGCCCGAACTAAAGGGGTGGTGGATGATGATTCTCCTCACCCAGGATTTGGCGCTTGGGTCCCCCCAAAACCCCAGTCGCGCTTTAAAAGAGGGAGTATATAAGGTATTTCTCCCGCCTTCCTAGCATACCTTTGTGGTGTGGTGGTCTGCACGCTGGAAGATCAAGACCAGTATATTATTAACGCAACATGTTGTCGATGTTTATATCTTATTGTTGTTCCGGAAGCCATTGAAATAGTCACGAAAACTTATTTCTTTAGCGATTAAATACTATGTTGAACATTTTGAAATTGGTGTGAAATTAATGTGCGTATAATGTAACAAAAATAAAATTATTGTTTGCCCAAATACAAACCGGCCGCTAAAAATCTGCATACGTTTTGCGAGCCGTAGTTCGTCAATTCCTAATCAGAATAAAGCATTTCACTACTGAATAGCGTCCCACCAGTGGCCGAAATGTTAGGAGCCAGTTTCCTTTAGAAACTCCTCCACAAAGGCATCCTTCCTTTTAAGCATATAGCCTTCGCGTGGTTTGCTCTAATTAAATAAACCAAACAGTTACTTTGTAGCCAGCAAGGGCTTTGAATGCTCGTACAAATTTTTTATTTGAGTTGAGCCATTGTTGCAGAGCAAAAATATCCTGTAGCAAACCGAAACTGTATAATCTTTCTTCCCTCATTTTGAGATTGGACTGATGGAGGGAGTTTGCTCTTCTCTTTATATTAGAATTTGGACTCTACCGCCATTGATGGGAAACAGAAAAAAAAAAAAAAAAAAAAAAAACTGTGAAGACGCATTAGCGTTAGGATAGATACTACACTTTGATCTTAGCCAAAAGACCGAGAAGCGATGTGTAATCCACCCCCATATAAAATTCTGTATTCTTTTTTAATTGTTTTATGTTGTGTTTGTCAATTAAATATATTAAAGTTAATTGGCGAGTGCTTATTTTCGGAGGAAATTACCTTCCCGTGCAACAATCGTAGTTTTTCTGGCAGAAGCAGGAGCAGAAGGGGGGACAGGGAGGGCGAAACTGAAAATTGAAAATAAGATGTTTGCTATGTTATCTTTTTGCGTGGTTTTGGAAAAGGTGTACATTGTAGCCTACGAATGCTCGAATGACTAAAGCTTTTGTTACTGAAGCTATAGTTTCAAAATGTATATATTCCTTATGGATAAAACTCCAAAAAAATAAATTCTAGAGAAACATTCGAATGGAATAGTGATACAATCCTAAAAAGCAAAAAAAATTTGCAGGGTAATTTTTCAATTCGTTTTCATAAGGAGAACCTCATCATAATAGAAATACTACGTATATACCCATACAAACATTCAAAAAGAAAGGTAGCATACATCCCGGCAAACGGGTTGATTACATATAACTTTTCTCGTGTTAACACAAATACGACCAGTTTGTCAAAGAAAATCTCCCACGAAGGCATCACTGCTTGTAAGACCTTTGCTGTTACGTATCTTAACCAACTAATTAAAATTAAAAATTCTTCAATCCGACGCTGATCAAATCGATCCTTAAAATTTTTTAAGGATTTTGAATTTAAAGAATACTATTTTGAATCTGCAATTTAAAACTCTTAATTAGGAAAAATAATTATTAGGTGAGAATATTAGTCATAATTCTTGTTTCAGGTTAAACATAAAACAGTGCATAGCAAAAATAAATGAAAATACTCTGTTTTTTTTTTTTTTTTTTGTTAGATACTATATGAAGTTAACAGTAGCAAAATTATATTTTTAAATTCAGAAAACATTCAAACTTAAAAAGTTGAATTTTGCCGGAATTTCATTTCAAGGAGGCGTACTTTTCGTTATGCATGTTTAACATTATTATTTTTTAATTCTGTATGAGCTTATATGTTGAAAGTTCCTCAGTGTACCTACTCAAAGACTGGTGCTGTGGCTAAGAATTACGAAAAGTTTGCCGCTGTTTCAAATCTGAGTTAAATAATGTAAATATATCGTATATTTTTGTTTTACTTTTTATTTGATTTATGGAACTTGTTCTTGAAACATGAACTAAGTGATATATGGCCCTTTTTCGCGGCCAAATTTGAATTCAAAATTAGCAGTTTTGAAGAGCAATTTCTTGCTTTTGAACATCATTAGCATCTTCATGTTAAACACCACAAATTGTATGAAGTAACTTATTTAACACGGATGTATTTAGTACTAAGGATACTGAAAATAAGTTAAAATTTGTTATTCAGTATAAATGGATGTAGACCTTCATTCAGCTTTAGAATAGCCGTTTGTAGAATTAATGACAAATGATGTGTTATCTTGGACTTGCAATCATACCTATGTTTCCACAAAGCATGTGTGTCCGCTGTTTTCCTCTTGTTTTACTGGGTTCAAAATCACATAATTTGCTGCCATCGTATTTTTCCATCCCTACTTCCTTCTTGGGGGGAGTAGGAAGCGGGAATCGGTTTATCGGGGGAGCAGGGATTGTAATCGCAACTGCCAGTATTGATGACTCTTTGCGGCTCTTTTGAAACATGGCCGAACCATTTTTCATTGCTTGTTACTTTCTCCCCCTCTGAGAAACTGTGGATATATGTCGCCGTGTGTTTAATCCAGTACTTGATTTCTATGCTTATTGTGATAAGCTTTCATGGCAATGATAGCGGTACCTGCGTAAATTTGCAGGAGCAAGCCATTTTATGTCACTACTATTCATAGACGAGAATCATTTATCCTACCATTTTTTAAGAGACTACGTTTTAGGTGCTGTAGATAACTCTGTTTGTTTGCAGTGTTATCTTTCTTGGCGTTTTTGATTTTATTTTAAAATATGGAATGTAAAGAGGCTTAGCTTTAAGATAAGAAGATTATTTGATAGTGAGATACCGCTGTAAAGGTGAATTTTTTATTCACACATGTGCTGTTGACACAACGCTGAAACGACGAATCTTGCATGTTTTCACATAAATACATTTTTGAATTTGTTTTTAACATTATACTGTATTCCAAATGTCAGGATTACTGTGCTAAGCTACAAAATAAGGCGAAAAAAGTACGTTTAGGAAGCAGATACACAGAAGCATAGTAATATGTGTATAGTGATTTCACTATTTTGCTGTATGCACTGAAATAAGTAATAATGAGTATACGATACATGAGAAAGTAGTGTACAATAAAAATTTATAATGAAGAACATTGGCCTAAACAAAATAAGATAAGTTAAATACGCAAAATCTTAATATACAGGACATAGAAAAAAATGATACCCCTGATGTCAGTAATAAAAAGATTAAGTACTGATGATGCGCTACTGTTGTCATTAGTGATGCAAACAGCGCATTCTTATTATGTATACTGTACATATATTCAAGGTACGTATAGTACACTTTCGTGTTAAAATTATAATATGAGAGTATCCTGAGGGATGTACGAACCATTGGATAACTTTTATTCAGAGACTGCGCTTATAGAAGTAACAACACTAAATCCGTTTATTGATAATCTCTCTGAAAATCAAAGAAATTTATTACAGAAGGGGCTAGAGTCCAACATTTTTTTAAAACCAAGCTTTTGTTAATACAACTTTTCAATAGTTATAAATTTACGAATGATGCTTTATGTGAACATATGTATTAGAGTTGTGTTAGGCCGAATAGGTTGGTGGTTTATTTCACATTGTTTATACACTAATTACTAGTTATTCAATTAAATTAGTTTAATAAATCATTCAGAGTTGTTTATTTTGAAAATACAACATTTAATAGAAGGGGAGTTATTGGGAATAGTAAGTTTGTTCATTGTAACTTATCACAGAGCGAATACGAAAGGTAAACTCAAATGATAATTTTAATAAAAATTTACAGTTTCAATTTCGTTAACTCAGGGAAGATTTTTGTTTGACTCATCGACTGAAACTTCTCTAAGTGGCCAATTCATAAAATTCCAGTCTTATGGATTACTGTGGAATGACAATAAAATGTGATTGACATGCTTAGGATATAACTGCATAAAGTTGAAAACTATCGCTCAAATTTATTATTTATTCTTGTTTTATATATGATTTATATTTTTCCTTTTTTTTTACGTTATAAAACTAACTGACCGAGTACTTACCAGATTGAAAATCTGAATTCCCACTGTCACGTCTGTCAGAATATATGGAAAAATGATGTTTCAGTATTTCTGAGATAAAACTTGTAATTCTCAGTAGAGCGGCTGAGTTATCGGAGCTCAGAGCATGATTAATTTCTCTTTCGGAACTTCTTCCGCCGTTTTATGATAAAGCAGTATAGGGATGTACATAATGTTGTGGAAGAACTGAACTCTGCAGTTTAAAGGAATGTAGGTCGAGTAAATTAGTGCAACAGATTTAAGTTCATATTTTTTCACTCATTTAACACTAAAAGTCTTCAATTCTAAGTCTCCTCCTTTTTTTTTTTTTTACTTTTTCCCCGTGACAACATATTTAAATAGCATGTAAATATATTTGCTCAGCAATTTTATTTATCATTTTAAATAAATACCTCTCCAAATTTAATAAAAAATATTACTCTGCTATAAACATTCATCTTCCCAAACTAGCCTGCTGAACATACCCTAATTATGTTCTGCAGCGTAAAATGATGTAATGTTTCTGAAATAAAGTAGTTATAAGATTTCAGTAGACTATAAAAGGATAAAAGACAGGATAAAAAATATTTGAGGAGGGGAATGGGAATTTCGTTTGCTTTTTCTAGTTTAACAACTGAACGAGTTTTAAGCTAAGCATTTATGATAGGCCTTCAAGTTGAAGAACTGCTGTCCAGAATTTCAAGGTGCAGAACATGAAATCATATTAAAACAAGCTCTTCAAAATAGCTATGCTCCATGGCAGAAGGGAGAGAACTTGATATAATGTTATTTTGTCACAAATTAGTCATGTGGAAACTTCACTTATATGACAAAGACACATAATTATTCAAGACATCAGCTGCGCACTTTTTTCTGTAGATTGCTTTTGTTTTTAAAGTCAGACTTCATGTGTTAAAAGCTGGAACAATGTTAGGGAATTGACTATGGCAGCTCGAGAACTGTCTACGAAGATGACTTATGAAAGAATTTTTATAGAAAAGCGAGTTGCCCTCAGTTATGTTAATTGCAAAATAAATTGCAAAACCAGCTCGGAAGCCAGACCGTTTGGTCGGAACTATTACTGATTTTAACATTTATCCACTAATAAATATGCAGTAATTGTATAATTTTAATTGTTAAAAATTGCTCTTCTAAAATTGTCATAAATCCAGCCGATCAATGAGCAAATGACTCTTCTTTTGTACATGAACCACTTAGACGTAGAGCGAATGGTTTACTTATACAGTGTTGCAGAAGCTGCCCCTATATTACTTAATAGCATATATATATTACTTCAAGTACACAGACGAAATGTTGGGCGTTCCGAACAGATATCTTTTGGACGCTTATTTCATACATTTTGTAAGATAATGTACAAGATGTTTTACAGGTTGTGTTCTGTATCTCTTTGTAAGGGGCGTGAAAGGTTTGAATCATATATAAACTTTCCTCTTGTTGTAAACTGCTAGCCGTTTGGAATATTAATTCAGGACATTGTCTGTGCATAGACAAAAGCCTGCGTGTTGTATGGGTGTTGACTGCCTTGTAACGTTTTATGGAATTGTCTACTGTTCTTTGTTTGTACACAAAGCATAGCACATCCCTAAGCGAATGAGTAGCGATAGCTGGTAAGATAATCCACTAAAAGCAGTAATTAAATACAGAAATAAACTATAATTAACAAAATAAAGAATTTAGACCCAGACTAGTTGGGCCCGATGCTTGTATTCTCTTAGCAAAAGGCCGCAATAATACTTGT